GTGACAGTGACAGAGTGACAGTGACAGTGACACAGTGACAGTGACAGTGGCACAGTGACACAGTGACAGTGACGCAGTGACAGTGACACAGTGACAGTGACACAGTGACAGTGACAGTGACACAGTGACAGTGACACAGTGACACAGTGACAGTGACAGTGTCAATGTCCCCACAGGTGACAGAGTACCGTGTCCCCGTCCCCTGTCCCCTGGGCCGGCTCCTCCTGCTCCAGGTGCACAAGGGGCCCTGCGGGGGCCTGCCCGAGAGCGCCTGGTACCTGGAGAGTGTCACCGTGTGGGGACAGCGCGGGGACACCCCCGGGGACACCCCCGGGGACACCCCCGGCTCCTCCTGCTCCAGGTGCACAAGGGGCCCTGCGGGGGCCTGCCCGAGAGCGCCTGGTACCTGGAGAGCGTCACCGTGTGGGGACAGCGCGGGGACACCCCCGGGGACACCCCTGGGGACACCCCGGACACCCCGGACTCCTCGGACAGCGAGGACAGCGGGGACAGCGCCGGGGACAGCGAGGACAATGACGAGGAGGAGGAGGAGGAGGAAGGTGACAGCGAGGACGAGGTGACGGAGGAGGAGGAGGGGACAGGTGACACCGAGGGGACAGGTGACACCGAGGAGGAGCTGGAGGAGCTGGAAGACACCGAGAGTGACACCGAGGGTGACGCCGAGAGTGACACCGAGGGTGACATCAGCACTGCCAGCGCAGGTGAGGGCGGGGACACTGCCGGTGGCACTGAGGGCATCCCCTAGGTGACAGAGGTGCCACTCTGGGTGATGTCACCCCAGGTGACAGCTATGACGTCACCCCAGGTGACACCGGTGTCCCTCTGTGTGATGTCACCCCCAGGTGACAGCGGTGTCCCCGCAGGTGACCCCGGTGACGTCGCTCTCCTGGGCCCCGGGCACAGGTGACACTGAGGGTACAGGTGGCACTGTGATGGCACAGGTGGCACTGTGATGGCACGGGTGGCACTGAGGGCACAGGTGACACTGAGGGCACAGGTGGCACTGTGATGGCACAGGTGGCACTGAGGGCATAGGTGACATCACTCGTAGGTGACAGAGGTGGCACTCTGGGTGATGTCACCCCAGGTGACAGCTGTGACATCACCCCAGGTGACAGCTGTGTTCCTCTGTATGACGTCACCCCAGGTGACAGTGGTGTCCCTCTGTGTGACGTCATCCCCAGGTGACAGCTGTGCCAGCACAGGTGACAGCGGTGTCCCTTGTGTGCCGTCACCCCAGGTGACAGCTGTGACATCACCCCAGGTGACAGCAGTGAGGTCACCCCAGGTGACAGCTGTGCCAGCACAGGTGACAGCGGTGTCCCCACAGGTGACAGCTGTGACGTCACCCCAGGTGACAGCAGTGATGTCACCCCAGGTGACAGCGGTGTCCCCGCGGGTGACACCTGTGACGTCACCCCAGGTGACAGCTGTGCCACCCCAGGTGACAGCGGTGTCCCCGCAGGTGACCCCGGTGACGTCGCTCTCCTGGGCCCCTTCCACTTCCCCTGCTACCGCTGGCTGCAGGGGTACGGCACCTGGGAGCTGCCCGAGGGCACAGGTGAGACATTGGGGACATTGGGGACACACCTGGGGACAATGGGGGCACCTGGGGACACGGCTGGTCACACCTGGTGACCCCGTCCCGCGGTGTCCCCGCAGCCACCACGCTGGCCATGGAGCCACACCCGCGGCTGCAGCGGCAGCGCCGGCGACACCTGAGAGAGCAACGGCGGCGCTACAGGTGAGGCACGGGTGACACTGTGACACTGCCAGGTGTGCGTGTGACACTGTGACACTGCCAGGTGTGTGTGTGTGACACTGCCAGGTGTGTGTGTGTGACACCTGAGAGAGCAACGGCGGCGCTACAGGTGAGGCACAGGTGACACTGTGACACTGCCAGGTGTGTGTGTGTGACACCCTCAGGTGTGTCGGCGGCGCTACAGGTGAGGCACTGTGACCCAGGTGTGTCCCTGTCCCCAGGTGTGTCTGCGTGTCCCAGGTGTGTCTGTGTGTGTCCCAGGTGTGTCTGTGTGTGTCCCCAGGTGTGTCTGTGTGTCCCAGGTGTGTCTGTGTGTGTCCCAGGTGTGTCTGTGTGTGTCCCCAGGTGTGTCTGTGTGTCCCAGGTGTGTCTGTGTGTCCCCAGGTGTGACTCAGGTGTGTCCCCCTGTCCCCAGGTGTGTCCCCCTGTCCCCAGGTGTGACGCTGTCCCTGTCCCCAGGTGTCCCAGGTGTGACCCAGGTGTGTGACCCTGTCCCCAGGTGTGTCTGTGTGTCCCAGGTGTGACGCTGTCCCTGTCCCTAGGTGTGTCTGTGTGTCCCAGGTGTCCCCAGGTGTGTCTGTGTGTCCCAGGTGTCCCTAGCTGTCCCCAGGTGTGACGCTGTCCCTGTCCCTGTCGCTGTCCCCAGGCTGGCCCCGTTCGCCCCCGGGCTGCCCTGGGCGCTGCCCCAGGGGACGCCGCTGGACCCCGACCTGAGCTACTCGCTGGCCAAGGCCTCGGCCTTCTACCTGAGAGGGAGCGCTGCGTGAGTGACCACTGAGTGACCCTGAGTGACCACTGAGTGACCACTGAGTGACCACTGAGTGACCACTGAGTGACCACTGAGTGACCACTGAGTGACCACTGAGTGACCACTGACCCCTGAGTGACCACTGACCCCTGAGTGACCA